TTTTTATCATGGTCTTGAGCTGCAGTTCTTCAGGCTTTCTGAAGGTCTGTCTATTGCAGTATAGTCTCTGCATGTGACCATTTTCAGAGGAATGTTTCCAAGAACTGGACTGAAAATCCATGGCATCAGGTCTTATGGAGTGATGAATCCAAATTTGAAATCTTTCGTTCAAATTGTCAATATGTATTCAGACAGTCAGGAAAGTGGTGCAGCAACAATTGTCTACAGCCACCTGTAAAACATTGACAGAGCCTCTGTTGTGGTTTGCTTCTGCATTGTTGCACTCTCACTAAAGTGCTTGCTCATAGGGGGTCATATGATTGTTGGGGTTTTCTCTGTATTATTGTAGGGTCTTTACCTTGCAGTATAAATCGCCTCAAGGCATTTTTTTTGTGATTTGGCCCTATATAAATAAAATTTAATTTAATCATCTTGACAGAGAAAAAAACAAAATGCAGAAAGTCTTTCAGAAAGTCAAGAGAACAATTCATGAAGACTGCGTAAAGAAATTACTAGAAAGCTGCCTAAGAGAGTTCATGCTGTGTTTAAGAATAAAGGTGGTCATGCTGAATATTGACTTTCAAGCTAGTTAGAATTATAACTGAGTTTTAGCCTGTATACTGTATTTCCATGTATATTTGCACATTTCCATAAATCACTGGACCTATTTCCAATTTTTCTGGCAAAATCTAAAGAATCAAAGAGTGGCTAAAGACTTTTGCACAGTACTGTACACATGCTTTAAAATTAATACGCGAGCACCATATGTCACAATACGATAGGTGTGGAGTGAAGAGAGATTAATCAATATTACTGACTAAATATTTCAGAGCTCAACGCAAAGGGATTATGTTGTCATGGCAATTCGGACCCCCCAAAAGGAGGAGTCTGCTGCTGCAGCTAGAAACTCTGTGGACAAGGAGTGGGTCACCGAGCATGCTCGACAGGTAGTTAAAGAGGGCCATGCCTCTCTTCCAGCACAAACTGATTTGATTTCAGCATGTATTATGCTCATGTATTAAATGAGGAAATTTAAATGCTTTGAAATGAGCTGTGCACCTAGGTAGACGGACTTGCACACTGCAAGGGTTCATGTTTGCTATTGATTTCCAGGTGTCCAGGATGCTGCCCGGAGGCCTCTCTGTAGTGGGAGTCTTCATCATCACTGATGCAGATGCCAAGGACGCACTAACTACACTCCGACAGGTAAGAGTCATGTTGACACTGTTTCCAGCAAAATCATTTTGAAATTCTTGTAATGTGCTATAGCTTGTAGTGTGAAGTTTAATCGAAAATCAACTTAAGTGATTAGAAACGAGGTCTCAAACCTGCAGCTCTAGAGCCACATTTAGCTTTTTTGCCCATAATCCAGTTACTCTCTGTGGCTTTGATCTAAAATGAATATATCAAAATGAGCATTGTAAATTTTTTTTACAATTTACTTTTTTTTTTATCATTGTTTTAAGTGATTCTAAAAATGTGCAGCCTATATGTCAAATTTAAATAAAATGTTTTAATATGTCTGTCACCTGGTGCTTTATGCTCTCACTCTTGCTAAGCTCCAGTAGTGGTGACTTCCATGAATGTTAACACATAAGTGGCTGCACATAAATAGATCGTTCCACCAGCTGTGAATTCCAAAGCTTAAAAAAAA